ATATCATCGAATTTTATACTTAAAGCAAGTAAATTTTATTGTATTCAAGTTATGTATACAACAAAGCTATTAAAAAAGAATTATTGTAAAATCTATTATAACGTGTAAACTGCCTGACATAACCAGTAAGTGTTTTTAAAAAGTAGAGAATATTATTCTTATTGTTATTTAGTCTATAGTCTTTTATTCTCATTCATTCATCCAATAATTTTTTGTTCGCTATGTTTCAGGAAATATACTAGGTGGTGGGCATACAGTGGTGAGTAAAATAAACTTGTTGAGTTTATCGGCTGTTACTATAATTTCTTTTCATTTTGATAGATGTCCCATTCATTAACCTTTAGTTATTCTCATTACATTCTTTCATTTGCAGAATTCCACATTCTTCTCAAATTGAAGTTCAAAGTAGGCAGGACAGAATGCCCTCTTTGATCACACTGAGAATAAAGCATCTCATAGTTAATGACACATGGACTTGGGGGATCTTCCACTAAATTGCTGTGTAACTTTAAGCAAGTTACATGATTTCATCTGTAAAATGAGCTTATAATATCTACCTCAAGTTTTTACAAGAATTAGTCGAATTGATAGGTGCAAAATGCTGGCCCCAGGTAGTCAACAAACAGTCCCCCTTCCTTTCCCTAAAAAATGACGTAGACAATATAATACTAAAGGCTCTGAGACTGTCATCTATTAAGGGCCACTCACCCTCCTTCAATGATGAAGTACCGGAGCTTATCGTTGCTGTCGCGGGTGGGGGTGGCATAGCATTTGTTGAGTGTTAGGATCAAATGTGTGGAGTCTGCTCCAACCACAAAGACCCCTACGTACAGCACATCTCGAGTTGTCAACACTACTTCACCCTGGCGGTATGGATGTTTGTAGGAGGCATTTTTGTAGAGCGCCATCTTGGTGGTGAAACTGCCTTCTTGGGTTGGAACTGTCAGGTTAATGACACTAAAAGGGAAACAATCATGATGCAGGGAATCCAAAACAATTATTCAATTACCTACCATTTTTTAAGCTGAAAATGCAGAGGGAAGGCAAAGTGTGTAGCAGTGAAGTCTGCGGCTGCGGGGTTCAATATAATATCTGCGAACCACAGGGAGGGATTTAAATTTAAATGAAATTAAATTAAATTTCAATTTCTCAGATCCCCCACCCCAATCCCAGCTGCATTTCAAGTGCTCAAAGGCCATGTGTAGCTACCATATTGGACAGTACAGATACAGAACATTTCCATCCTCATAGAAAGTTCTATTGAACAGTTCTGGTCCAAAGCATTTAGGTTCAGGAAGTATGAATTGCATTTTCCCTAGTGCTTCAAAGACAAATGCTAGCAATCTTGATGGTGTTCACCTTAACCGTCAAGGAAAAGACAAAACAATATGCACAGCCCATGAGACACTTTACCTTAGCATAGGCTTTATAACAGAATCCAAGGAGATCTTGATATCCAGCTCATAAGCACATGAAAATTCCACATTGATTGTGCGGTCCCTGGTGATGATGTTGCCAGTGTTGTTGGCACTTTCAATCCAGATTGTGTTTTTATACATGATATGAGTGCCATTGGACTGCAGAGTGAGGGGAGGTCAGAAATCATTAAATTTGGGAGTATGTGGCTCACATTTCAAATCCACATCCGTCAAAGTGGTGATATGGTTTCATTCCATGCATAACCCAGAGGCCAGTATAAATCAGCATGGAGCTAGCCTCAGCATTTACTGGGGGAAAATTACTACAATAGATGTCAACAGCACCCTTCAGTCTGGTAACCTTTAATGCCCACAGAGGGTGTTTTCAACTACCACTGAATTGTAACTACAACCAGCCCCCAGTCATCTGTGGGAACCCAAGCCAAGGATAGCATGAAGTATTGCCATCGCCAGGCAATATAAGCCTTCTTTTTCAATCCTTTACTCAAAATCTGTCCTCCACCAAATCTTTTACCAGACGTGCCTGCAAGTATCAAAGTGAACAAGTGCAAGTTTCACCTCCTTACTCCTTTCACCCTCTGATAAAAGTGTTAATGAACAGAGCCATGAATAAAAGACACACAGCAGGAAGGAATAAGAAGAGAAGCAAGATGCTTTGCTACCTTATGCACTTTCTACTTATATATATCCTATATACTTATCAGACACTAAAAGATGGGACCTCTCTATTTCTGCAGCCAACTATTAAATGACATTTGGGAGGACATGCTTCACCCTTAAAATAGCTGAGCCCAGCTGTGTTTTCCTGGAAGGATAACAGAAGCATAAGCGAGGTAACAACAATTTTGTCAATATACAAGAAAAAGCACAACTGCAGTCATCACAAACCAAAAAAAGAAACATGTTACTTACAGGGCTCTTTCAGTTCAATCACTTAGTACCAAATGATGATTGCCCTTACTCTCTTTCATTTCATGCCTTTTGCTGTTCTCCAAGGAGCATATTTCTTAGTAGAAGTTGGCTTTAAGGACAATAAATATGCAAACAGCAGGAGCTGCCATGACCTCCGCCAGGTGCTCATTCCCACCCCGTTTTCTCACCTGCACAATGTTTCCACAGTTCCCCTTGGTGTTGTTGATCTGAAAGGAGATAAAGTCTTCCCCCTCGATGCCAGTGCACTGTCTGTCATTGACCCTCACGCCCTCTCTCTCAAAGCCGAGCTGGAAGAGTTTGCACTTAGATATGGACACTTCCATCTGGGATGCCTTGCAAGTCACCTCTGCATCAATAATGTCATATGAGTCTGTAGGAACAGTTTTTACAAAAGGTAAATCAGTGGGAGTCTGTCACCACAGAGGGGAGGGGAGGCGTCCCACTACCATGCTCCTTTAGAGAGGCAAACAATCTCCCCTTAAAGGCTGCAGCAGTTCTACTCAAGCTTTGCTCAGACCAAATGAGTCTATGAATTTATTCAAAGCAACAACTTGGGCGTTGGTGGAGCGTTTTCTAAAAGACAAAAATGCTAATAAAGTGTCCTTTGCTTCCCTTTACAAACCCAGGCCTTCCCCTCCACACCGGTGGCAGCTACTTTTCCATAAGCAACATTCCGAATCTGGCACATGGTGGCCTGACTAATGAGCATGCCGCCAAGGGACAGCGGCACTGCCAGGCCACACCCAAAGCCCCCTGCTGAATCCAGCTCAGCAGAACCCCTAGGATTCCCAGGTGAGCACTAGGGACTTGCTTTCTGACATGGTGATGTCATCAATTGACACCTTCTCTGAGTATATAAACACCGGCTAATAAGCACTATAGAAACAGAGAGAAGCATTTTATCTGCTTAGGTGAAGCCCTTGAATAGCACATGTTGTCCTCTCCTAAGGAGCCTTTTAGTCAATTAGGCTTTAATTCTCAAATGATGTTAAATTTAGCACATGCCTCTGAGTTGCTTGGCTCGGAAAAGGGCACCGGGCTGGAAGGCAAAGCAGCTCCCTTCAAGCTGACATTTCTTCCAGGCGGGGACAAGGCCATTTCTTCCTTAAGGGAGCTACAGTTAGAAACAAGACCTGGAGACCTAGATATTTCCTGCTTGTTTCAAACATTTTAGGAGCAGAAAGCTTTGGGCCAGCTTTTTAAAATGAGTTTTAAGGCACCAGGCACTCTCATCCTAATCTTTAGTACTGGCGTCAAACCACCTTACTTCCTTGTGAGTCTAAAAGATCAATTTGGATCTCTCTGATGCTGAACGTGGCCTTGGAAGGAACTGGCTGATTGCATTCATGTACAAATTTGTGTGTTATAATTTATTGAAGAAAAGGATGTAGCTACAAGGAAATGAACATTAGCTGACTTTGAAGCAGTTGGATTGCTTTCGTGTTCTGCTTAAATGCTCCTGAAAGCTTTGCTATTTGTGTTTCTAACCTAGGGAGTGGGACGTATCAAGGTCCTGTGCCACTGCCAGGCCTCTCCCACTGGGCCTTCCTGCGAGGGGAGGTGGCATTGGTCACTCACTGTTTCCGTAAGGGGGCGGCTCGATGCAACCACACAGCTCCCCTCCGTTTTCCAGCTCACAGGTTCGGTTGGGACAATCTGCCCCCACACAGGGATCTTCAACCACTCCTGCTAAAAAGGAAAACACAGAAACACACACAACTTGATTTTCACACCTATGCATGGGAGCATTTGGTTACCTTCCAGGTTTGCCACTTTAATCAAATTGGAAATGGTCAGATGGCAGCCGCACATTAACAGACAGGGCAATGTCAAAGAATGGCAATCGCTAGTAATTGGGTGCTTGCTACGGGCCCAGACTGTGCTTCATGCTTTAGCTGAATTATCTCCTTTGACCCTCACAAATACTCTGTAAGCTAAGTATGATAACTTATTTCACAGCCGAAACTTGCCCAAGGTCACAAGTGAAAGTAAGTGGTGAAGACAGAATCCACAGACACTCCTAACTGCCAAGATACACCACGATTACTGTACCCACCTCACCATATTACAGTAACTTGCATTTACATCTTTATATAAAGAGTAAGGTCCAAATCATTCATCAATATATTCCAAGCACCCAGCCACCTCATAATTGGTGCTCAATAAATATTTGTCAATCATGAAAATTTTAGGGCCAGTGAAATCCCAGAGAGGTTCCCCATTCCAGGACTTCATAGTCCTTTTTGACTCATGGTCAACCTTCCCCATAAAATTCTACTTGATTTTATAAAAAAAAAAAGACAAACCAAAACTCTACATACCACTCACCAGCATTGGCTTAGATAAATGGTACTGTTTTGCCAAAAGGGTAAAACTGTAAGTAAAATATGAATGTATGTGAAGTATCATCATCATGTTATTATGAACAATATTTCTGTAACAGATGAGACCACCTACAAGATATTCAACACCTCACTATAAGAACCACTAATTGAGAGCATTTTCTTTGAGAGACTCATTTCCTTATTTAAAGAATCTCTCTATATATCAAGATAGAATAATCCTGTTATCACAGTATATGATGGTTAGTGCTAAGGAAACAACTGTTCAATCCCAGAATGATCCAAAATAGCTTCAAGAATCTTTTTTAAAAAAGAGTTTTAAGAGGATAAAACATTTCAGTTAGACAGAAGGAATAAATTCAAGAGATCTGTTTCAACTGGACAGGATGAATAAATTTGGGAGATCTGTGATTGTGCATCATGGTGACTATAGTTAATAACAATGTATCATATACTTGAAAATTACTAAAACAGTAGGTTTTAAGTGTTTTCACCACGTAAGCACACGTATTGTGCATCATGGTGACTATAGTTAATAACAATGTATCATATACTTGAAAATTACTAAAAGAGTAGGTTTTAAGTGTTTTCACCACGTAAGCACACGCACACACACACACAAACACATAGAAAAAAGTTTTGAAACAAACCAAAAACCCAAGCCATCACCCGGCTCCACACACCTCTCCTGACTCAGCTACACGCTCCTTTGGTAAGTAACTAATTGTACTAAGTGGGAGTACATACATGGTTTAGGTTCAACCTGTCTTAATATCTGGAAAGACAACCGAAAGAAAGCTATCAGCATCATTTAAATACATTTACTTTTAAAAGACTTCCTTTTACAAAGACCCTTCACTCTCCTGGTGTGTTCAGTGCCTAACACAGTGCTAAACACAGAGCAGCCACTCGGTGAATGTTATGCTTGATTCATGCAGTATGAGAATGACCAGAGAGAATAACAGAAAGAAAATGAGAAAATTACCCCACAGGAAGAGAAGAATTTATTTACAAATGTGGTCATCCATCTGCCAATTGGAAAATGAGACATGCCCTTAGAGGGAAGCTTTGAGATTTAAAAAAACCAAACCGATATATATATATTTTAAATCCAGACAGTTTTAAAATTCAAAAAGTTAATTTTAAAATTACTTAAAGTATTGCTTATTAAAACAGCAGAGTAAAATATTAAAGTTATCAAACAACATTTCTATTAATTTCCAGCAGAGACTAGTAATTTGCTTGTTAATAGTTTCTGAAATCACTGAATACATGTTTTAATTTACTACATTGTTTTTAGGTCTTGAATTTAGTGTATTCCTACCTTGATCAGGTATAGCCTACAGATTTACCAATGTGTATGTCTAGTCTTGGAAAGGGTCTTTTTCACAGTGGTACCTGTGTTTGCACTGGGTTGGTGCTGCGTGTCTGGGTACAAACACAAAACGTTCTGTCACTGTATCGTACTGCATTAATGGGAGTGACCATTTATTTATATGGACATACATACAAGAGTACTTCAAAAAGTTTGTGTAAAAATGGAATTAGAAGACAATATGCACTTTTCCATAAACTTTCTGAAGTCCCCTTACATATGTATATGACATATTTATGTGCTTATATACATTTATATTTGCTCCATCTGTTTAACATAGTAAGAAAATTAACAAATTGAATAACAGAAATACACATCCAAAAATTTTTTCTTACAAGAACCTACAAATCTTCATTTTACCAGCTAATTTTATATATATAATTCCTTTATAAATCCAGCCACAGCTTCCTTTCAACCCAGGCAGAAAGAGCCAGTTCAATTGCAACTCGACCTGCCATGTGCCGCATTATCTTCCTTTCTGGTAGGAGCTTTGACTCATGTTAAAGAAGCCAAGGTAGAGCTGGGTTTGAAAACTAAGATCAGTTCTGTTCTCTCCTTTTGAAAGTTCAACAAATTATTGTGATTGTTGGACAGAACTGAGGCCACCAGAGGTGGGAAGGGGGAATAGCAAGAAACTGGTAAAGGGCCATAAGAAATGTTTACACTGTATAATGCTGAATACACTAATTATCCTGATTTGAGCATCACATATTGCACACAGGTATTGGTATTCAATGCTGTACCCCACAGATATGTACAATCAATTATGTTTCAATTTTTTGAAAAAGTATATGGAAAAATAATTTGAAAAAGAAAATTAAGATCAATCAGGAGTCCTGTACTATGTCCCTCTACCTCATAAGTCACTAAGCTGGTGCTCCTCCAACCCAGACAACCTCATCTACCCAAGTTTGTCTTCTAAATTCCATAACCGGATGGAACCACAAGTGGATTAGGTGCCCCCCTGCTGAACCTCTGCTGCAGCTCACAACTCTGCTCTCCAACCCTGGGAGCAGATCTGTGAGTAAAAGTGGAGAGGGCCAGTCATCCCACAAAAAGCAATGCTACCGGCAAAGCTGCTCCTTGCACTTGAAAAAGAATGCACAGAAATAAAATAATGCGCTTACAGCAATTCTCCTTCTCGATCCACTCGGTGCTAAGGATCCCAAAGGAGCGGCAGGCCTCCCCGTAGGCGGCCAGGGAACCACATAGCTGGAACTTCTTGTGGTTGTAACAGCCGTCCAGGTAGCAGGACTCATAGAAGGGAAGGGGGTCGAGAAGCCCATAGCAGGGCTGGAAGAAGCCCTTCATGTCCGTGAGCTTCAGGCAGTAGCCGTCGCCCTGCATCATCTGGATGTGCACGTTGTCACACATGGCTGCATACTGCGAGAACTGCAGCTCGTTGCAGCTGGGGGCAAGAGGTCTGGTCAGACTAGGTGAAGCACAAACAGCCATCTGAGAGCAAGTGAAGGTAAGACCACATCTGTCCCTGCTTGGCTACCCCTGAAGTTAGTGCAGTATGCCAATCCCAACATTAACTAGCTATGTGACCTTCAGGAAATCAGGTACCACTGGTCTCTATTCATCCATCTAAGAAAGTGAAATGGTAATTCCAGTTGTTCATATCACTGGGATTCAGTGAGGGTAAAATAAAATAATGGATTGGTAGCCAAAGTGCCACACAAAAGGCAGATATTGATATAATAACCATTAACACTTTGATATAATTGATTGATATAACTGATATAATAACCAATAACAATAATAGTAATGATGATAGCTGGTAGAATTAAAGGTTTTTTTTTTCCAGCAGCCTTCTAAACAAGTTCCAGTTTAGCTATCAGAGATCAAAAGAAAAACTTTCACAAGAAAATTGGTATCCAGCTGATGATAGTTTATTTAAAAAAGGAGGGAAGGAAAAAAGGAAGGAAGGAAGGAAGGAAAGCAAAAATGTTCAAACAGAATCATAAACCCTCAGGAGGGGCTGAAACTTGCTCATCTTTGGAAATTCCAGAATGGCTTAAATATCCAAAGTTTTTTTTTTCCACCTGTGGGTCAAAAAGTGGCATTCTAGAGAAAGTATCAAATTAGGAATACTGGAATCTAGTCCTGGCTTTGTCACTTACAGTGCCTCGTCGTGTTAATCACTCACTGTTGTAGCCTCTGTCTCACCTAGGAAGGGAAGAGACTGGACTAGATATTGTCCAAGGTTCTTCACAGCTCGGGGTTCCATAATTCATAGGATATGACACATTATTCAGTTTACGTTTGGGGCAGTGTCAAAGAGGGTTCAAGCATCATTTCCACAACTGGGTATTTACCTGATATTTGGCAAATAAAGCACAGGGGATCAAGACATTGCACAAGCAAAGAGATACCAGTAAAGAGAAGCATATTTATAGATCCAGAAAGGTATCAATATAATTCAACAGCCCAGAGGGGTTCTAAATTTAAAATCCTTGGAATAACTTATTTAACTCATTCTACCTCAGTTGGCCAAAGGTGAGCTTGATAATAACCTTCATGACTTCTGTCTTTAAAAAGACTTTCTTGATTCCTACCAACTTCTACCTGCATGACCATAAGCCTTCTGGTAAGAGTCCAGGACACACAATCAGATCCAGAATGAGGGAGCAAAGGACAGCCCATCTTCTGAGTCATCTCTTAATCCCACCCCCAGCAGGGGCACCTGGGTCCCAGGTGGGCAGCTGGTCAAGGCTTCATAGTTCTAATCCTGGCAACTCTTCTGCTTAGCTGAGGACTGGATGACACGAAAACTTAGTGTCTTATCACCTAAGCCCAATTCCTTCCTCTGCAGATCAAGAAATCACTGCTGTCACTGATGTGCCTATTTGTATCATCAAACCTCCAAAGACCTTTGGCTCAGCTCTGTAGGAGAGGAAGGGCCATGCTAAGGAAAGTGCATTCCTCATTAACACTCCCATGGATGTGGGCGGACTTGGGCCACTGAGCATAGTGGCTTGAACTCTTTGGACAGCTCACCTCCTCTGCATGCCATTGGTTTTCCAGCTCTGGGCCAGCACCACGCTGCTCACCACTGGCTTCCCCCGCAAGGTCACATAATCATCTGTCAGGTCCCCATTGAAGTTGCCACAGAGTCCACACACCTTGTTCTGCAGCCTCTCACTGATGCTGATTTTAATGACATTGAAACCATTGTAGTATATCTGGATGTCAGGGCTGGTGTCTATCACCAGAAACCCCTCTTTGCTGTAGATTTTGGTTGCCAAACCAGTTATAAATGGAACATTTACTTGTGTGCCATTCACCTGTTGGAGGGAGGGAAAAGGAAGTAATTACCCTTAGAGCAGGGGCTGGCAAACTTTTTCAGTGAACGTACTGCAGGCTCTAGGATCTCTCTATGACAACTACTCAACTCTGCCCTGTGACACGTTGGCAGCCATAGACAATACATAACTGAACGCGTGTGGATGTGTTCCAAATTTACAAAAACAGGCAGCAAGCAGATTTGTCTGCAAGCTGTAGTTTGCCAGCCCCTTTCCTAGAGTTTAAGGGCACTCACTCATCTTACTGTCCACAGTTCCCCCAAAGGAAGCAAAATATGGAGCTCAAGTTACATTGTTCTAATAGAAAAATATAACCCTCAATGAATGGCTAGATTTTCCTTTAAAACTTTCCTGGCATAAACCAATTATTGAAAATGAAATCCCAGTGCTATGCCAAGAAGAATCCAACATAGTTAAAATGAATTGGGGATCACTGCAATGTTTATTGTTTTCTTGTTTATAATGTTCAAACTAGAACCCCCCACCCCCATAGGTCCTATAGGCACAGTATTTTCTGCATTCACCATTTTCCCACTTTATAACATTTTCTTTTCTTAGCTCTTGGGACAGAATATAATATACTTTTCCTGTACTTAAAATAAATTGGTTTTCCTCCCCCAGGTTATTAGTAACTTTTGTTTCTCAAAAAAAAAATGCACCTTTTTAAAAAATGAGTCTTTATCATTTTGTCTGGCTTGGGGTATTTTATTCAGGAACAATGTCAATTTGCTCTCTCCGGTGGTCAGTTTCACTTTTTTTGCTCTGTATTCTGGACCAATGCGGTTGTGTCTATGTGGGCCAATTTGCAAAAGGAATGAGAATGTCAAAAAACGGTAGCAGCTTTCATTGAAGTTAAAAACCAGTGTTAAAATCCAGACTCTTCTTTTTAAGCTTGTAAAATATTGCCAGTCTTTTGCCTAATGTTGGATAGTAGCTATTTGATGACTCTTCAAATAAAGATACACTCCATGCCTGATTATCTGAGCCAGTGGTGGAAAGCAGATACACACAATAACACTCAAAGATGGTGGACAGCACGAAGGCGCAGTTGGCCGGGAAGCGGAGGAAGGCGCCGTCGAAGGTGCGGAAGACGCCGCCGCCGGCCGCCAGGCAGTGGGAGGTCCTGGTGCTGAAGCAGCCGCGCACGCCGTGGCGCAGCGCACACTCCTCCCCGGACTTGCACTGGCGCGGGTCGCACTGGATCAGGTTGCGCCGGAAACAGCGGCAGCGCCGCGTGCAGTCGCTGTTCCAGAACAGCTGCTTGGGCTGGAAGAGAGCGACCGTCGGCGTTAAATTCAGGCCGTGATCAGAGCTAGGGACTCCGAAGCCCAGTCCCCTCTAGACCCTTTACCAGGCGGGGCTAGCCTGTCTTCAATGGGGCTGGAATTTGCGACAGGGAACAGTAGGGAGGCTGCTCCTATTCCAATGTTACATCAGTTTCATGCAGTTCAAAGGCCAAACATGCAATTTAGACTTTATTGGTTTCAATTAAGAACTCTGGAATCTTTACGGCTGGATTGCAGGACTAATCACAGCCAGCCTGAATGTGCAAGTACTAAGTGAAGAGGAAAATATTTGGTAGAAAATTTTTACCAAGGAATCACACTTCTAACAAGTACAGGCTCCACTTCAAAAATGAAATTTAAATTCAGTCAAGAATGATAAACCAGCCCTTTAAATCTTAGATAGTAAAAAACAAAACAAAACAAACAAAACAACCCCCCCCCCACACACACAAAACAACTCTTATGATTAACCATTCAACATTTCACCATATGCACCCTTCCAAACTTTCCCCGTTTCTAGTCTACTTTTGATTTACTTTGGTCAATAGAAGTGCCCAACATTCATCTCCTCCACAAAGAAGGACCAAAACAACAAATAAATAACGAATTTACTTCTGTTGCAAGTAATTCCATTTCTATGTGTCCTGAATACGAGAGATTTAAAGAACAGCTAGGTTCCATGAAAGGGAAGTTTGGGGTCAGACAACCTGGGTTTCTCTCCCAGCCACAGTCACCTTACATGTGCCACCTTGAGCAACGTTACTATGTGTCCTGAATACGAGAGATTTAAAGAACAGCTAGGTTCCATGAAAGGGAAGTTTGGGGGTCAGACAACCTGGGTTTCTCTCCCAGCCACAGTCACCTTACATGTGCCACCTTGAGCAACGTTATTAACTTCCCAGAGTGTCAGTTCACTCATCGCTAAGTTGGAGATAACAATAACGTCTTGCAGGGCAATCGTGGAGATTAAATTAAATAAGACCTGTAAAGCCCATTTCCTGGCATTGAGTAGGCACTCAATAAAAAGTAGCTGCTGTTATCACTGCAGAAGAAGCACCACTCATCCTCTTTCAGACGGTGAAGGAATTATATAAGATACCTACAACATAGCATATCCTCAATTGGAGGCAACTGCTGTTTTCTACTCTTCCCTGAACAGACAACAATCTATAGAAAAAACTCTACTTGGTGGAGTTTGAATTCTTGACCTTGCATTTACTCTATCCAGGAACTGTTGGAAATTGGTCATGATTGTCCAAGTGGGATGTGTTCCTGACAAGTAGACTATGTCATAGAGATGTGGGCACTTAATGCATTATCAACTTACCAAAACAGTGCTATCCAGAAAAGGTGTTTTAATGGCACAAAAAAGCCCTATGCTTCCCACTGTTTTCTGCTTTAACTACAGACTTATCAAAACCCTGGATATCAAGTACAGATGTGACTCAGATTCAAAGATAAATAGATAGAAGGTGAGATCTTCCAGGAAAAGTTTCCTTAATCCAGTGCACTTTAAGATGCCATTGCTGCTTCTTTCATCCTCAAAATGAAGTAGTTCCTGGAACCAAGTCTTCCCTCCTTCCAGACTTATAACTTATTCTGGGTGCCATCAGACTCACAAATTGACTTCATTTCTCTTATCAGAATTACAGAATAATTGAGTGGATGGGCTGGCCTCTCTCTGATAAGAAGTCAGACATTACATTGGTGGAAAGAGAGAAATAACCTGAAGTATGTGGATATGATCAAGGATAAATAATCCACAGGAGAACTTGATCATGAAACTAGCATCACAGTAAAGTGGCTGGTCCAATGCTGCTTTCTTTACCTTAACTATAAATGACAGACAGCTGGGTGATTACCCTACATGCTAATGGCTAGATGTGTTCTCTCTTTATTTCTAAAGAAATCTGTTGTATAAACAAGCCCCCAAGCTTGTTTGAATTATGACAAGTAGGCATGGATTATTTGTTCTGTGAGTTTGCTACTTCCCAGATATAAGCTGTTGTCAAAACCCACTGACTTTCTGAAGAAAAACCAATTCATCAGATAACAGATTCATCAGTACTATAAACTATGTTTGTAGTGCTAATAGCTGCCAAGAGCTGTACCGTGTCTTTCCTGAGAGTTCCAAGGGCTTTTATATGCATCATTTCATTAACATGTCTAGATTTTTTATTTACAAAATGTTTCTCAAGAGAATAACAACAATACTAACAATGGCAGCTACCAATTATTGAACAACTAGGTGCCAAGAACTAGGCCAGGCAGGCACCTAGCATAGATTATTTATACAACAACTCTACCAAGTTGATATTATTAGCCACGTTTCATTCACAGGGAAATAGAAGCTCAGGGAAATGACAGTTTGCTCAGTGTCACACCTCCAGCAGTGGTACAGCTAGGATCAAACCCAGGTCCCTTTCCATTATGCCACATTGATACTCAGAATGCCCATTGAGGGGTGCATGACAGCATTGATAAATGGATATATCTTGGTAAGTCTCCAGGCTGGGGAGCAAAGTTTAGAGGTTTTTAAATTTTGAGCCTGGTTATATGTTTTCCTGGACTTTGATTAGTTCTATGTATTTTACTCTAGTTCCTTCCCATCTTTCTAAGATAGCATTTAAATAAATTTTGCACTGAAAATGAAATTGAAGTTAACTTCCAATTTCCTTTTCTTTTATTTATTCCCAAAGTAAAGGCAACTTAGTTGTTTTTGAACAAGTCAATGCATCTTTACTAAAAGGAGACATTATTTATTTTTTCCCAAGTTGATTTCCAATGCAAACATTTCAATTAGATTTCTTTTAAATGCTACTATTCTTCTTCGTTTAAAATCGATTAGTTCTGTGGGATATTATTTTTCACTTGCTGATATGTTATTTTGTAATTTTTCTCTTGTTATTTAAAGTGCACTTTTTCTCTCTCCTGAATAGATTTTTAAGTTCCTTAAGGCAGGGAACATGCTTTCCCGTCCCCCACAATACCACCAGCACAGGGATTTGCAAATAGCAGATACTTTGATATTTGCAGTTAACTGTCTATTTACCAATCTAAGGTTCTGATGTCATTGAAACAAAGAATGGGCCTGAGGCAGAACTATGAACTAAAATACCTGCTCTAGGCAAGATCTTTTCTAGCTTAGTGTTACAGCACATAAAAAAGACTGATTACAAAGTCCAAAAAGTAAAATGATTTAGTGAGCTAATATGTTTTGCTGGGAAACATTCAGAAAGAGTATCTTCATTAGTTCTATGTTTAAGCCCCCAGGGAGAGAGAAGCACAGGTGGTATGTTGGGGACAGCAGTAAGCAGTCCAGACTGAACAACTCTCTGGGAACAATATGAGAGTGGCGAATGGCACCTGCGGAGATGGGAGCCTTAGCTACTATCGTGGAGCTTCAACAGCCAGAGGGGAAAGGCCGCCCCTCTCAGCCTCAAGCTCCATATTTTCCAGTTAAAAATATCCTTAGCTGAGACAGCTACCAATGTCAGATTCACGGCCACCATATTTCCAAACAATTGTCACATCAGAAGCTTTCGACTAAGATTTACAGGAGAGGAAGTCAGAAGGGCCTCGGTTGCAGAGAAACGGTGGGGTGGTGGATTGATACGCACATGTCAGTGAGTACAGGGGACAGAGTGCAGGGGACTCTGCCATCGTGGGAGGGAGGGGCGAGGCCCAGATGCTTCACCACCTCTGATACTCAGTGAGCCTCATCCGAACCCGCACTGAACCTCTGTGACCCCGTCCCACCTCCCTGCCACTAAAGGCCACACTCTTCCTAATGAGGTGGGAAGCCCGGTCCTCTGTGACCTGCTGCCACCTACCTCGTAGTACTTGCCGTCAGAGTAACAGCCACAGCTGTGCGGCAGGATGCAGCTCCTGCCGTCGAGGACGTAGCCGGTGTCACACTGGCAGCCCTCCACACAGTAGTGGTTGCAGTCACTCTTCAGGCGGATGGCAGCACAGCGGGGCTGGCAGACGCTCACGCAGCTCTCATAATGGCTGTTGGCGGGGCAGGTGACAGCTGGAACAGGAGAGACGGGTCAAGACGTGTACGGTCCTGGGTGCTGGGTACACCCGCGCGGGCAGGTGCAGGGTGGGTGTGGGGAGGTTTGCGACCTTCCCCAGTGCCGCCCTCTGCTTCTGCAGAGCCTCTGTCTGGCTCATGACCGCTTCAGCGACAGGCCACTGGGCAGATGGGGTGGCTGGAGCCTCCTCACATACTCTCGGTCCTCCCCGTAGCCTTGGTCTTCCAGATCCTCTATTACATGCTACCTTTGACCCATGCCCCAACATGAATCTCCACTAATGTTAGACATGTCATTTGATGACGTCCTAGGGCCACCCACACTCATTCCTGCCTTTAGATCCTCAGTCATATTGACCTCCCTTATTCACGCCCTTCTTCGTCCTATCTAAATTCCCCATTCTTCAAGTCCTTGTTGGAGTCCCACCTTGTCCAGGTAACTCCCCCTTTGATACCAATGCCAGCGCATCTTCACCTCCAAACTTCTACAGAAACTTTTTTAAACCAGTACTTCGTGAACAGTAGACCCAGAAGCCCCCATGCTCTCTGAGTAGGCAAATGTGTGTGTGTGTGCGTGCGCACATGTGCACGTGCAAACCTTCTCATGTCAGTGATGGACTACCATTTCCCAAATGTTTCCAGATGCTCCTATGGAAGGCAGTTAGGGTGCTGGTAAAGAGCTCTGGAGCCAGCTGTGAGAGACCCAGAGCAAGTTACTTAGGATCTCTGGGCCTCAGCTTCCTTACCTATAAAGTACAGATACCAACAGCACGTACCTCGCCACTGGTTGTAAGGGATTAAGTGAGTTTGTGTGCTTAGGACAGTGCTTGGCACATAAGTGTTCAATAGGTATTAGCCTATAAGTGTTAGCCAATAAGTATTAGTTCCATAAGCATTCAATTAGTATTAGAGACAGGTTTGCTTCAAAGTTTTATAGAAGCTGTTATCTCAATCAATGTATACTAAAAGCACGGCTATGATTAAATGGAAACTTCTACTCTATACATACACAGTATGTATTTGGGAGTTTATTTTATTTTTTAAATTATCTAGTAGCAAAATGTTCTTTTGGAATACACAGTTCTATGAATTTTAACACATGTATGGATTTTTGTAGCCAGTACACAGGAGGGTGTACTTCAAAAAGTTGGTGGAAAAATGGAATTAAAAGATAATACAAATCTTTTAATGAACTTTTTGAAGTACTCTCATATAGTTGATTCTTCCAAAAATCTTCTATGCTGTATAAGCACTCGTGTGTGTGCACACAAAAGCATGTATGTATCCCATACCCACTTTATATATATATATATATATATATATAAACGGGAGCATAATATACATACTTTCCAGCTCATTGCTTTTTCATGACAATATTTATTGTTTCTGTACTGCTGCATGATGTGTACATTTTATGTGTTTATGATGCCTCAGTAGTAAACATCCCTGTGCATATATCTTTGCCCTTATGAGTGAGGGAATCTGTAGAATATATTTCTGGAAGTGAAATTACTGGGTCAAAGGTTATGGATGCCACTAAGTTGCCCTCTAAAGAGGCTGGGTCGATTCCCCGCCTTGACTTATACACTTGGTACATGTGGGCAAAATTCATCCTGCAGGGAGAGGGGCCAGAAAGGGTTGTGACTGTGTGCGCACTGGCTGCAGGTGGGCAAGACCCCTGGATTCACCCCCAGCTGCTCCAAGTTGAGAGCGGCACAGAACACAGGGCTGGAGTTGAGCCTTGAAGGGACCAGGGCGTGCCAACTTACCCTGTGTACTACTGCATGGACTTTGGACTTCCCAGTCTCAGAAACAGTCTTTGTGAGCGGGGAGACATCTGGCTAGGGAGGCGGAGACTTGGCAGAAAACACACACCCTGTGGGGCCGCCACTGCATGATCCAGCAGCCTGGGCCAGAGCGCATGGAACAGGGAGAAGTCCGGCACGGCAAGTGGAAGCTCAGCAGAGACCACACACCCTGCGGTACCGCCCCATCACCCAGCAGCCCAGCAGAGTCCAAGCTGACCAGAGAGGTGGCTCCCCGGAGAGGCCCAAGACCCGAGGCAACCACACACACAAGGCACTAGAGGCCAACTGAGCAGCCACGGAGGTAGCCATACCAAATTGGCAACCACAGCAACATCTTAGTTAGTCAACAGTCTCAAACCGGTGGACTGTGAAACCCCTGGCCACAATGAATAAACATCAGAAAAAGACACCAGAAATACAAAATATCAAGAAAGTACACCACCAAAAGTTAATAAATCTCAAAGTCTAGATCCTATAGAACAAGAAGCCCTTGAAATGACTGACAAGGAATTTCAAGTGATAATTCTAAGGAAACTGAATGAGATACAAGAAAACTCAGCTAGACATCATGATGAAACAAGGAAAAGTATACAGGACCTGAAAGAGGAAACATACAAGGAAATCAATGTCCTGAAAAAAAATGTAGCAGAACTTGACAAACTGAAGAAGTTATTCAGCGAAATAAAAAACACAATGGAGAGTTTAACCAGCAGGCTTGTGGAAGTGGAAGAGAGAACCTCTGAACTTGAAGATGGGCTGTTTGAAATAACACAAGCAGACAAAGGAAAAGAAAAAAGAATCAAAGACATTCAAGAAAATCTGAGAGAGATATCAGATAACCTTAAGCGCTCAAATATCCGAGTCATGGGTATTCCAGAAGGGGAAGAAAACGGAGATTGCATTGAAAACATATTCAACAAAATAGTGGCAGAAAACTTCCCAGGTATAGGAAAAATCACAGGATCAAGGACGCTCAATGATCTCCGAATGTATTCAACCCAAAAAGGCCTTCTGCAAGACATGTTATAGTCAAATTGGCAAAACTCGGAGACAAAGACAGAATTTCAAAAGCTACAAGAGAGAAGCATCAAATCACCTATAAGGGAGCCCCAATCAGACTAACATAAGACTTTTCATCACAAACCCTAAAAGCCAGAAAGTAATGGGATGATATATTCAAAATACTACAAGACAGAGATTGCCAGCGAAGAATATTCTACCCTGCAATGCTATCTTTCCGAAATGAAGGGCAAATAGTATATTTCTCAGACAAACAAAAACTGCAGGAGTTCACTATCACATGACCAGCCTTACAAGAAATCCTCAAGGGAGTACTTGGTTTGGTTCCTGAAAAATAACTATCACTGCCATAAAAACCCAAGAAAAATCAAAACCCACTAGTATAATAAAAATGGCATTCATGAAGAGAAAACAAACAAACAAAATTGCTACCTACAACCTAAGGAACCAACAAACACAGAAAACAAACAGTAAATCAGAAAGCAAGGAACAAAAGACACCGAAGACAACCAAACAACCAATAAAATGCTAGGAATAAATCAACACCTTTCAATAACAACTCTTAATGTAAAA